CCAATGTATCACTCTCCGAATTATCTCTTCCGCACCTTGGTATGTATCAAATTCCACACTCCAAAATGACTTCAAAATAGAAACAGTAAATCAATTAGCCACAAAACACTATAGAAAATTTCACTCTAAATTACAATGTCACTTTAACCCTTAAATCGCTGAACTTGCTTCCAACTCACTTCCTAGTAACCCCCCACGCCGCCTAAAGAGAAACTGGTGTCGTGATTTATTGAATGATTGATGGTTCATACCATTTAATTTAAATTTAATTTATATCAAGTCAATAATTAATAAATAATTAAAATTAAAAAAATTAAAATAACGTTGGGTTCTATCACTGGATGGCCTCCCTCCTCATGTGTTCATGTTGTAAATAAAATTGTACGTTGTGTGCTCAAATTTGCCTATTATGCCTTATTGTAGCATAGATTGTAAATATTCTAATAAAATAATAAAAAAAAAAAAAAAAAAAATAGTAGAAGTGGAAAAGATTGGATCCAATGTTGCAAGTGTAAATATTGGTCACATGAAGCTTGTGCCAAAACTAAATTTACTGCTTATTATACATGTGATAATTGTGAAGCTGATTATGAACAATAATTTAAAACCTTCTGTTTTAACTATGTTATTTAATGATATTATGCTATTTTTTAGTTTTTTTTTTTATTTTAAAAGTCAACAATTACATGACTAAACTATTAATAATTCACCAAAGTTATATTTTATTTTATAATATTATGTTATGTTTTTATTTAAATTTTAATATAAAAGTTATGTTTTTATTTAAATTTAAAAGTCAAAGTTATATTTGATTTTATTTAATGATATTATGTTGTGTTTTTTTATTATTTAAAAGTCAAAATTTATGTTATAAGTGGTCTAACAAATCAAAAATTATGTTCCAAAATTATTATGTTAACAAAGTTATATTTTATTTTATTTTAAAGTAACTGTATAAGTTTTGTAACAATAAAATATATATATATATATATATGTATGTTACATTTGTCCCTGTTGCTGTTACAATTGTCCCTGTATAAGGTACAGTTGTAACATTTTTTTTTTTTTATGTTTATAATTACTCAACAAACTGTGGAAATAGATGTTCAATACATACATATTATTAAAGACAACAACTTACTTTACTAATTGAAAGTGTAAATGGTCCAAACAATTTTGAATTTTGGCTGAAATAAATAATTTCATAAAAACTGTTACAATTGTACCCGGTCGCCCCTACTCAATTAATGCAAAGCAAAGTTCAATTACATTGTATATAAATGATGAATATATTACATTATCACACATAGATTTCTGTAGATTACAGAAAACAATTACAACACTGCATTGACCTGTATATAGCAGAAAAACAGAAACGACTACAGAGTTTTCAAGCAACATTTGATACTGCTTACGAACTGATCAAAAATTATGTACGTGGTCTGCCAATCAGCTGCCAGAGGAACGAATTCACAAACCAGTATATTCAAAACTATGATTTCAATTATTATTCCCATTTACAAAACGATGACACATCATTTTTGTATGAAATATTGCAATACCATTTCAATTCAATGTCAGAGCTTATATTACAGGATTTATTAATATGAATACAAATTTATATATATATATTGTTTATTGATTAAACAAAGTTTATTTTTTTATATACATAACAATCAAACTACTATTTTGCTTTTTATTTTTCAGCGATCTGGATCCTGCAGCATTGTATCGAATACAGCCTGCATAGTCTGATTCAGACTACTATTCAATGACTGGTCTTTTGATTTATCGCTCTTGAAGATCTTCACTGATGCTTTCGAATGACGCCATCTATTAACATACAATAGTAAAAATAGAATCATACTGTTAACCAGATACAAAAGGTGTTTCCAGTATTTACCTATCCTTAAGTGCGACATTTACAATGTTCGAGCTTTTATAGTGAGTCAACACCCAGTAATCGGTCGGCTTGCCCTCAAAAGTAGTTTTAGTGGTGATAAGCTCATCACCTTGACGGAAAGTTAAGGAATTTGTTACTTCTTCCTCATAATCTTCTAATCTAAAAAGATCACCAACGTTATCCCTATATGAACCTAAGAAACCTAAGAAAAAACAGATGAAAATGGTAAGATAAAACATTTTTATAATGATACCATAATTATTTATTTATTCTTTTTTATAATTTTTTTTATAGGCTACATCATCATAATCATATAGGGATAACGTTGGTGATCTTTTTAGATTAGAAGATTATGAGGAAGAAGTGACAAATTCGCTAACTTTCCGTCAAGGTGACGGGCTTATCACTAACAAAACTACTTTTGAGGGCAAGCCAACTGATTACTGGGGCTTGACTCATTATAAAAGTTCAAATATTGTGAATGTTGCACTTAAGGATAGGTAAATACTGGAAACACCTTTTGTATCTGGTTAACAGTATGATTCTATTTTTACTATTGTATGTTAATAGATGGCGTCATTCGAAAGCATCAGTGAAGATCTTCACGAGCGATAAATCAAAAGACCAGTCATTGAATAGTAGTCTGAATCAGACTATGCAGGCTGTATTCGATACAATGCTGCAGGATCCAGATCGCTGAACAATAAAAAGCAAAATAGTAGTTTGATTGTTATGTATATAAAAAAATAAACTTTGTTTAATCAATAAACAATATATATATATAAATTTGTATTCATATTAATAAATCCTGTAATATAAGCTCTGACATTGAATTGAAATGGTATTGCAATATTTCATACAAAAATGATGTGTCATCGTTTTGTAAATGGGAATAATAATTGAAATCATAGTTTTGAATATACTGGTTTGTGAATTCGTTCCTCTGGCAGCTGATTGGCAGACCACGTACATAATTTTTGATCAGTTCGTAAGCAGTATCAAAAGTTGCCTGAAAACTCAGTAGTCATTTCTGTTTTTCTGCTTTATACGGGTCAATGCAGTGTTGTAATTGTTTTAATCTACAGAAATCTATGTGTGATAATGTAATATATTCATAATTTATATTCAATGTAATTGAAGGGGTAGATGCAACAACCAGGCATCTCCATTTTTTTTTCAAAAATAACTTTTTTGTGATAACCAATAGAAAAAAAATCCGCGTCAGTTGATGCAACAACCAGACAAATCCTATCCTTAGATACGGAGATACAATACAAATGGATATGTTTGTTTTATATTTTGTTGCAACAACAAGACTTCTCCGGAGAAGTCTTGTTGTTGCGCCGAAGGTTGGTCATACTGACTGTGCTTATCATTGATATTGTGGTGACCCGATCTACGGCCCAACGTACACACAATATTATTATAATATAATTTCAAAATGATGTAATATTGTATTGCCATTTATCTTTAAACTTGTAGACTTGTAGTTTTGTAATCTTTACCTTTAAAATAGCTGTTATATAGTTAGTTACTACTGTTACTAGTTATTAGTTACAAATGACTAGATTAGTACCAATTAGTTACCAGTTTAATAATTAAACAAATAATTTAATAATTTAATAATTAAAAAAATTATTGTAAAATAGTTTATTTTGAACAATAAGTGTTTCGACCACGACTTCTATTAGTTTTGATACCGATGATTCTGATTATAATCCATTCTCGTCGATTGAAGTGTCTGACTTTTCCTACCAATCTGATATTAATGACAATCTTGGTAATATTTTGGCTTATGACAGTGACATTGAATCAACAGATGACAATCATAGTGTCAACATCGATGATGACTGGGTTCGTGTGATTGAAGATTCCGATGAAGACAACAGAAGTAAATTTTAAAAAAGGCGTAGAAATGTTTATAGATGGTGCTATGTACTGACGTCCTGCCATATACGCATATAATTAAAGGCTAGATAGCGAGGGGGACATAATATGAGAATTATTCACATTGGGAAGTTGTCGACCTCGGGGATTTAAGAACAACGACGCAATAAGAAATCGAGTGCGTAGTTCTGAGAATCCGACTACCGAAAGTGCGTTG